ATCCAAGCTTCTCATTCTTGATATCCCGGTGGATGATACACAAGCCGCGCATATATCGGATGCCCAGGAGTGCCTTTCCAGCTGCAAAGGCGCGAGCTGAGATGCTTCGCTTCACCGTTCGACCGGACAGATGGAAAGCAACCGATCAACGGACACTGCCCCAACTGCCACTTTGCCAACCCGCTAAGAAAAGGAACATCCGGAAGAGAAACCCGCCCCAGGATGGTTCATTGAAGCTTTGGGTGCATTTTTGTGACCCACTAGCTCACTAGCTCCAAGGGAAAAGCGTCCTTGATTAGCTGCTTCACCAAAGAGAATGCAGTTTGAGTGAGCTCCCTACACGACCCTATATGGAGTCTTATTCAGGTCCTTGTAAATCGACACCCAATCAATGTAACACACCATGGCAAGTATGACCGTTTGAGCACCTTGTTTGCATCCTCCCCTCCCGGCCTGTGTTAGCCATTGGGCCACCTGATCCTGAAGTGAAAGCAAGGATTCTCCGATTCTCATCGGCGATCAGATTAAATGGTTTCAAGAGGAAACCCACTTCGAATATATGAGAAGTTGTTGGAACGCCGGGTCAAAAGCCGCTGATGGAAGAACTGTTCTGACTCAATCCACCCAATCGCCGGGTCAACGACGCTTGGACACTGGCACGTCGCCCACGGACAAGCGCTTCCGCGTTCGACACCCACGTTGATTCGCCCGAAAGTCGAGATTCGTCCAGAAGGCCCGCTGCAACCCGAAGGTCGTGTGTTTTGGTCGCAAGTGTTTGACATGTGGCGGTATTTTCAACCAGTGAACTCCCGTTGTATAACTTCCATGTGGCTTCTAGACCCTAAAGGTGGCAATCCTCTTTTTCTTTGGCATGTTGTCTTTCGAGTGGCTCGGCTGCACAAGTTGAACAAGCAAGAAAAGAACCTCTGCTGGAGGAAGCCTCCAGATTCATCCCCAAGGCTTTTCAAACGTACAAGGATGCTTGATCTAGGGGCTCCTGGCCTTACTACTAGGAGCAAGGACGCTACGAACGGGGCTCCTGGCATCGCTACGAACGGAGCATTCTTACTACGAACGGAACAATAAAGCTAGCTGGATGCTTGATTCGCAGGCAGCTTCGGACTCCGGTGACCTCCTTTTACTCCATCCGCCCATCGTTGAAAGGACCAACCGACCTGACAGCGCCCGACTGCGCCCTGCGGTCCTCCGGCAGCGGCTGCTCCGTCTCCTTGGCGCGGTCCACAAGTGCCAAGAGGTCTCCGGAGCGCGCGTAGTCCATGACGATGCCCAGGAAGCCCTGGGGAGGTCGAGGCCGAAACCGGGAAGCTAAGGGGATTGTGTCCAAAGAGAATAGAGCGGGGGGGGTGGCAAAGTATCTTGGTGTTTCATGTTCTTTTTCTTGGAGATGTCCAATCTAATCTACATCTCATCTCGCATCGGGATGGAGTGTAGAGCCCCCGCAAAAGGATACCCGATGCTTTTGGAGATAATATATAGATTCAGCCAAATCCTTGGTGTCCATCTCTAATCCAAAGCTCTGATTAGAAAGCAAATTTGTGCGTATCATATCATATCATTATCATAGTATATAATATCATCATAATCGTCAGTCTGCTCTACTTTCGCCCGTCGCCTACTTTCCGGCGCAGCCGGCGAAACACTCCACGCGCCGCCTTCTCCTCGAAGCAGTCTCGAAAGCGGACGATGTGCACATGCCTCAATCCCAAAGACGCACGAAGATCGCTGTACCCGGCACCGAGCGATCACTGAAGATCACCATTTGGGTGTTTTTGGAAGAATGCTCTCTTTCAGTTTGGTGCTCCATTTGGTGGAAACTTTCCACAGCTCTCCCTCATGAAAACTGGTGGAAACTGTTCTGTCTTTCCCCGGCATCCGCCTGAGTTTCTGCATGAGTTCGGCCTCTCGGCGAGGCGGTGCTAGCGACGCGCGCTCCAGCTCCAAAGCCTTCCGCGGCGAAGACGCGCCGACGCGTGCGACGAAGCGTTGGTGAAAGCGTTGGTCGATCGTGGGAACACGGACATTCGGGGCACAAACCATGAAATCTAAGGAAAAGATCTGTGCCCTGAGTGTACACACACGTTGGTTGCAAGATTGATGGGCATGGCCTAGAATCAAAGCCTATGGTTGAGAACAGTGTCATGATATGCTGATTTGAAGAAACATGTTTGTTACTTTATCGTTTGGTTTGGTTACATCTTCGTCGTTCATACTAGTAGAAATGACAGGAGCTACTACTAGTAGTAGCATCCTTGCTCCTAGTAGCGATGCCCTTTGTTCCGTAGCATTCGGTTCACAAGGAAAAACTCGTGTTTTCCGACTGTGTGCCCCCCGCGTTTTCCAAGACATGCCCAGCCTTCAGTGACTGGAACACCAGAACCACTAGCTTCTGAGGGAAACAAAAATATATCTAATATAGTTTTATCATGCGTTATCATTGTTGAGTCTATACATTACTTTGTTCTGTCCTGATGGATCTTCAAAAAAGAGCGCGGACACCGTTCCCCAAAAAAAGAAAGCCGCCTTGAGCACTCGCCGGCGGCCCGAGGGGTCGCGAACCAAAAAGGCTTCTCCAAAGTGGCCTCGTCCGTGCGAGGCCAAACAGCCCTGGACGACGACTGCGGTGGGCAAATGCTCAAGGTGACATGTGTCCTCCCTGTGAGGGAATTTGACATTTGACACCAAATAAATGTCCCCCACAAAGCACAGCTTCCTTTCAGGCTCACATAGTTCACAACATCTGGCCGATACCTCCCTGTACAAAAGCGCAGTCGTCAAAAAGAAATACGCAGAAAGTTGGAGTTCTTGTGACGGTCCTGTCGGAGACTAGCTTTGATCACAGTCGTCAGTTGAGAACCTGGGTTGAGCACTTGGGCCAAGGGAAAACCGCAAGATCAAAGGCCTCAATCCACAGACTGGGTTTCCACAGACCTGGTGAATCCTTGCGGCGTGGGACCTCAGTTGAAGAGAACCTCATTTCGGCCAGGACCTTCCCAACAGCAAACACGCCTCGGCCGATACATCGTTCGATGTGGTAGCCCTGCTTGGCACCGATGAAATCGGAGCACTTCTCGGTCAGGTCCGTGACCCGCTTTTCAATGAGTAAGGTCCTTGGTGATACAAGAGCCGAAGGAAGGAAGGAAGGAAGGATATATAACTTATAACTTCGCATAGATCCAACTTATGTATACTTATGTATCATGATAATGATCGATACCAAGCGCATGGCACACATTCAAAGATTTTGTATGATTGTGTTGCAGTCGCTGTGCGGAATGTGTGGAGCAGAAATCGTGTACAGTAGTTGTCATATGGAAGGTGATAGGCTTTTCCGTGAATTTTGCACGTGGCTCAATCAAAAGCCAGCCACCCGCCCGCGCACGCGCAAGACATCATAGCCCTCTAAAATCTCTCAAAACAACAAGTTCTTCATCTCTCTCTCTCTCTCTCTCTTCACGGAATCTAAATCAGTCAGCTTCTCATCCGACAGGTTCCAAAGACCCCAACCACTTGCTTCCATCTTCTTGCCGTCATCCATCCATCTTGCCCAGGAGCTGTTCGTATTCCTCCAGCTCAGCCGGTGGCTCCTCACAGCAGCCAACAAGTGTGCAAGTGGGGGTAGCACCGGTGGATGTATCCACTTGTCGTTCATTCGATAACATAGATCGAAAAGGCCGGATCAGTGAATCCGAGAGTGTGTTTATGGATGGCACAAACCACAGTGCATGAGCATCTACTGTCAGACTAGTCCGGCATGCTGGTTGGAAACGGAAAGGAGCTTTCAAACCCCACCCTCTTCTATATATAGAGGTTCTCCATCAAGTGTTGAAGGAGCATCTTGTCTTCACATTGCATAGGATAGTTGTGCAATTCACCTGGAAGTAGATCACAATTCTGTGCTGCAGAGTCAGCAGTAAGACCGCTCTCAAAAAATACTTCCAACAAGAAAAGTACAGTCTATATTCAGGTGCAAACCCGTGTCATCCAGTATCTTGCGTTCTCTACACTCATCCTGATCCAGATCCGAACCACAAGCTCCCCCTTGGCTTCCTCTCCATCTTGGCCGTGCAGGTCCACGTTCATGCAAAGGGCTTTTCAGGGTGCCGACTTCAAAACGTGCGCAGATGGCTGGTACAAAGAAAGGCCATCTAGGCCGGACATGGAGTGTCAAGTGGGAAGCACGCTGAGTGGATACCCCTACTCTTTCCTCACACCCCAAGGAAGAGGCCCAAAAAAGATGCTCACCTCACTACGCTCAGCTTGTGTCGGAGTGGTTTGTGCAATTGACACTCGACTATGGCTTTGTGGCCCAGACGAGCAGCGTAATTTTCACACCACATAGCACGCACACGACTCCATATATGTGTATGTGTGTGTGTCTCGCTTAATCTGCAAACATGATCAAACATGAATTTGGGACGTCGGCACTATTGCTGCTGCTGTTGTGGGTCAAAAACCTGTGCCTGTTGTGGGGCAAAAACATGTCAACCGTCAACCTGTCAATGATCCAAGAACGCTGAAACTAACGCCTCTAAACTGGCTGCGCGTATGGAAGTCGGCACCCCAATTCCGGCAGCTGAAGCAGCTGACGAGCGGCAGTGACAGCACTGCGAATCTACCACTTAGGTGGAAGAGACTTCTGCCATGGAATGCAATAGTTCAAGCACGCTTTCTCCTTTGACCCCTTCCTCTTCTTCAATCGATGAGCAAAAAAGTTGGCAAAATCTCCTAGACCATCTTTGACCATGAACATCTTACCGCAATAATAAGAGGCAACTCCTGAAGTGTTCGGGGGATCACAGCAAGAGCTTCATCCAAATGCCATGAACCCAACTATACTGAGTCTTTACTGAGTCGGAAATAAAAATCCATCCTTCCATGATCTTCCATGCCTTCATCATGGCTTTTCCCTCGAGCCAGGACCATAGCCCTCCAAGGTGAGGTGTGCGCCGCGTGCGCCCATCGGCTGGTCCGATTGTGGGGGTACACTTGGGAGGGCGGCATTTGTGAGGAGTGAACTCAACAAAGAAGACATGAAATAGAGACAGCGCTGCTTGGAAAAAGAATGAACAAAATGCCGATGTGTTCACAGATGCTGCATGGCACGTGGAGAGCGGATTTCTTCGAAGCAAAGAAACGGAGCCAAACTGAGGGGACCAAACTGGGAGCCAAAGTGTTGGAAGGGTGATGCCAGGTATCGATGGCAACCCTTCTTTGCAAAAAAAAGAGGATCTTCTGGATCATGGAAGTGCTGGCAAAAATGGCATGAGCTGAAGTCTTCGCTCCCCTTCTCATAGCATACGGTATGCCATACTGAACAAGAATAATGCCTATTGGCAGGAAACCACACACACACAATTGAGATGGGCAATCGGCTGGAAAAGCTCCTAGGTTCCCAAGCTCGCGAACGCTTGTGAGCTCCAAGACGTGTTGGCCCAAGGACTGGAGATGTGGCCTTACACGGCTGTCCATGTAGACGGACGACGATGCAAAGAGCCGACATGGTAGAGTTGCAGCATGAAGGATCCCCAAAAACACGGTTGATGGATGAAATCTGAGAAATCTTTAATTTGATGAATGTGATGGAATCCTGTCATACTATTCACACGCGTTTGTGCCAAATGATGGTGCAAACGGAGAACTCCATCTCCTCGGCTCCCGGCGCCAGGCCCGCTGGGCTCAGCATCAAAGCCATCAGTTTCTGAAGGCATTGCAAGGCGAAGGAGACCAACCTGATAGCACAGCGGAGCAGAGTTCGGTGTCCGATCACTTGCGAAGTTCGCTGAGCCAAGTTCGGTGTCCGGTGTCGACGCAGAACATCCGTCGTCCGGATGGTGTCTATCTTACCGTGCCGGTTCCGGTGCTTTCCGGTGCGATCTGCCGGTGCGATCATCCGATGGTTCTGATGAGACGAACACAAGACGCACCCAAGGGGTCGAGAGGTGTGAAACGATGGTGTTGGGCGACATCCCAAAAAAGTCTCAAAAAAGCTTCTTTGGTCCCAGCAAAGGTCTTACAACCTGGCATACTACTAGCAGCTCCTGGCATCGCTACTAGGAGCATTCTTACTACAAACGTCACAAGAATGCTACTAGGAACAAAGGGCATCGCTACTAGGAGCAAGGACGCTACGAACGGGGCTCCTGGCCGTACTACTAGGAGCAAGGACGCTACTAGGAGCAAAGAATGCTATTCCTCACAGCTTGTTTGACATTTCTGATAGCTCAGAAAGCACTTTCCTCGACGGCCACCACTGGCACACTAGCTCAGGTCACTTCCAGACCGAAGTGTCCAAACGGAACGCAAAGGAACGAAGTGAAAAGCCCCTGAAAAGTCTTCCATGTAGGGGGATGTGGAGATGCATACATTGCATACATCATCGTACATCATATCGGAGTTGATTGGCAGCTTTTGGATGACTCGTGACTCATGTTGAATACAATGCGTGGCTTGTGTGGATTCTTGAGCTCCCCTGCTGCATGCCAGTCGTCGGCACCCTGCGAAGGATGCGAAGGCCCGATCATACAGGAATACGTGTGGATAGTCGTCGGCGCCCAAACTTCAATCTCTTTGAGGGTGGTTGAGCCCACACACCGAACTCTGTACACTGTGTCACAGTAGCTTCCACTGTGGCTGCTGATTGGTCAAGAGGTTTCCAAAGATTTGCCCACGTCCGGAGGTTTGTGGGGGCCAATGGACCAACTTGGGCATTCCTTGTGGCTGCTCCTGGGCGGCGAGATCGGGAATCCGCCGTTCCTAAGGACCTTGAGTGACGAGAGCGAATGAACTGAATGAACATTGAAAAAAATGAGGAAAAAAACAACTCACTTCAAACGTCTTATGACAACAAGTTGAACAATTCATTTCAAGAACTTTTTCAAGAGGACATCGCTACTAGGAGCAAGAGGACGCTACGAACCGGGCTCCTTGGTTCAAAAATACCCAGATCCCATCTTCCCCACCTCGTGGACTCGCCCGGCCGCGGCGCCGCCGTGGAGACCTGGACGAGTGACTCACTCGGTGACTTCCGCGTCACTCGGTTTTCTGAAGAGAATCACAAGGGACTCGTCCCAGGTGCTTTTTTAGTAAAAAAGAAACCAAGTGAATTGAAGTGAATCCATGTCATATCCTTTTTATGTAAACCCACACATGAACAACGCCACACCACACCTCTACCTCCAGCGCGGGGCTTCGGAAGCCCACGAACTTCCGGCCCGAGCCCTCGGTCGAGCCAGCCTCGGGAGGTGACGTCGAAAGGTTTTGGAACAGTACTAGTAGCGATGCACTTAGCTACTAGTAGCTTCTAGCTATTAGTAGTAATGCCCTCGTTACTAGTAGCGATGCCCTTGTTACTAGCTGCAACGAAAGAGCGAGACCAAGCAGCGTTCATCGCCGCTTCTTCCACAACTTCACCGGCAAAGTGCCAAATGTCTGCAGGACCAAGAGCACATGGTTTGACCCAAACTTGGGAATCGGTCAATCGGTTCGACTTCATTTGGATCATTCAGTTAGATCCAGGCCAGGCATGGCTTCCAATGTCACCCCATGTCGGATCGAATTTGATTGAAGAGTTGAGAAGCGGCCAGAAACGGCCACTTTCCTCCGCCCTGAGCTCACAGACCGGCCCGAACGCGATGTCGCACAAGATGCACCTAACGAGTGGCGGGGTGTTTCGGAATGTCCAAGAACCTGATGTTATTCAATCTGGTCTTTCGGTAAGAGGCAACTAGCTGCGCTCAATCTGCCATTCGTGATGCTTGTTTTTTCCAGGGTGATGTTGAAGTTGGCCATCTGTGAGAATGTTTGACATGTCTGTGCTATGCCACTGGCATGTTGTGGTGAGGGCCGATGTTTCCCTACCTGGATTGATTGAAATTGTGCTTCGGCGCTGTCGGCTATGCCAGGACAAACACGTCTGGCAATCTTTTGCACGCCGCACTAGCGGTGCAACCATTCTTCTTGCTGCGCAAGACCCCACGATGAGACTTTCTCATTTGAACATTTGTCCTTTGTGTTCTGGAATGCCTATTCCCTGCACGAAAAATGCATGGCATGTACTGCCCAACACTTTCTCACAGCGTCTTTGAGCAATTACCCGCACCTTGCAATAATTGGCTAGCTACAGTACTGCAAACTATTAAGGGTAATATGAGCAAACTATCCGTGTCATTTCCCACGGATATCTACAGTATGTCAGTCTCTTGCCTTCCATCACTGAGATTCGAGCTGTAACAAGTTCTGCACAAAGGACACCTGGAACAAGAAGCTAGTAGAAACAAGTGCATCGCTACTAGTAACAGGTGCCTTACTACTAGTAACAAGAAGCTACTAGTAACAGGACACCTGGGTCACTCACGTCGCCAGTTCCGACGGTCGGTCCGTGCACCGACCCGCGAGCAGCGAGCAGCGGGGGCGCCCGCCTCGCCCCAGCAGCGTAGCACGCGCAACTGGAGGTCCCGCAGGCGGCACAAAAGGTGCCCAAGGCCTTGGGGATCAAGAAATGCAAATCTGGTGGGGAGTGCGATCAAGCATGCTGCGATCTAGGGGAGTGTGTAGTATGGTGCATTGTTTAATGGAGTCTGACAAAATCCTCCTTTTGGCTGTTTGCCACCACCTCTAAAAGCTTCAGCTAAACCAATTTAGATGCCAGGTGAAGTGTCTAGCTTGTCGTAGACTTACAAAGCCAACTGTTTTATCATGTCGGGTATACCAACGTTCCTGCCAGATTGTGATGGCTCAGTCAAACCCTCAAGGTATTGACCACATCTGCCGCCCCTCGATGGCAGCAACATGACCATGCTCAATATCTTAAGTAATTTTGTTTTGCATGTCATGCTAAACACCTGGGCATTTGACATCTGTGCTGGGCATTCGGGCTATTCTCTTTGGCGCTCAAGCTGGCCTCAGTGACAGCGAAAATGGAAGGGCCTGCTGGCAACTGCATTGCAGCTTGTAGTATAGCATGCTTAAGCATGTAGAATGCCCTGTCCCTAGTCTACAGGGTTGGTTGGTTGCTTCGTTTAAAGCTGTGGGGGCGGTTGAAACGGTCCTTGTCGGACTTGCACGAGTTCGGTCGTGGCGGCCTCTGAGAGACCCCGGCGGCCTCTGGCCAGTTGAAGCAATCCAAGGCCTCAGCCAGATCTTTCTCGAGAGTTGAAGCAATCCCCCAATAGTCCTCAGACCTCCTCAGATCTAAAAAATCCAACAGTTCCAACCATCAACTTCCATGACAACCCCAACCCAACGAAAAAACGCCCCAACTGAGAGAACCACGGAGTGC